GGCTTTTGCTCCAGCTTTTGGACCTTGAGCCAATAAAGTGCTTTAGCCCTTGTACATCCCCAGTCTCATTGAATTCAGAGACTTTAGCTCGGTGCAGACCTCAAACACAAGGCTCAGAATTGGGGCACATCCCCAGCCCCTCCCCAGAAAGCCTTTGCAGGAACACACATCCCCTTTCTTCCATGGGCCCTCTCCTTTTTCCACAGTGGTTGCTCTCAGAGAGGCGGGGTGAGAGACACACGACCTCTGATATTTCTGAAGCATTAGAAAAATCCCATCCTTCTAGTACCCCTCTAAAATACAGCTGATACCAAGTCAATCAAGGGCTGGAGCGTTACGACCTTCTCCGCAGAGGAGCAGAGGGGTTAAATTTATGAGCAAGCCTTTGATGTCTGCAAGCCTCATGTGGTACGAAACCTCCTGCTTTGATGTTACTTTTAAAAGGGGGGAAACTCAGAGGGTGTGGGGGGAAACTCAGAAGGTGTGTGGTGCATGAGTCCCAGGGCGCACTCGGACCCGGCCACCTGCGACTGCAGGCACAGGGACCAAGCTCTAATGCAGCTCCTTTTGCTCACACTCTGCTGTGACAGATAGAAAATGGGACCAAACACATCTCAGCCTCACCAGCTTCTCCCAGACCGAACCCACCTTTGCTCTGCCTTTGAAGAACCAGGCATTCACTGCCCTCATCTTCCACCAGGAGCTCCAAACCTGACCTCAAAGGAGAAGAGGATCCCGCCTTTGCCCGTCTTCCAGACTCAGGCAGTCGCGGTCCCTCTCCTCCTAGCCACTACCAGCCATGGCTGGGAAATTCCTCACCTTCACAGGGCTACAGGAGGGGAAGAAAGCCCATCTCTGCCCCACCAGTGATGCAACCCTCCTGCAAGAGCTCTCCATCGCGTGCAACACCAGCCGCAGTGACAGGAAGGTCCAAGCCACAGGGAGGGACCTGCCGCACGCTCTCCTACCTTACGCAGCACCTGGGCCATGGCTTCTCCTATCCATCCCAGCATCCCCACGGCTTTGCTAACAGGCTGAGCCCTTCTCCCAGGGCCCGACAGAGCTGCCAGCAGGGCCAGGCTCCTCTCCATCCCCGAGCTGACTTCACCTCCCTTCCCTTTCCCCTGCCTCCCCTCCCCTCTCCCGCCTCCTCCCATGGGGAGTTTCCCAGCAGTTCAGTAATTAGCATCATCATCACCAATGCTAATAACACCACCACAGCTCCCTGCCATCCGAAGCTCAAACAACTTTGCAGCCATCATCACGCCTCTGTAACCTCCCCAGGGTAGGCAGGGAGGCAGCATTACCCCGTCAGGCAGATGGGGAAGAGGGAGGTAAACAGGAGGCAGAGATGGGCAGAGGAGCCGGGAGCTCTGACTCAGGCACTGCACCCATGGGACCTGCCTGCTGCAGCAGGGACCCTTCGGAAGGAGCTCGGTGGCCCTGTTGACAGCAGGACTTATCCAGAGGTTACACCACTCAGCTTGGAGCCTGGGAGTCCTGGGATGAGGTTTTTTTCCTGGCCATCCCCATGCACAGCCTCTGTTCCCCTCTGCAGAGCAGCAGACAGGGCTGTGCACACAGGCTGAGCCCACACCTTCTGATGGGACAGCAGGCATTGTGGCATTCCATCAAAAGCACCTTAAATCAACCATTAGAGCTCACCTCTAATTAAGAACTTGCTCTTTACTGATGGCTTAAAGAGGATTTTTGCTTTGAGCATTCACAGAACGAGGAATCAGGGGAGATTTTTGCCTGAACAGCTTGACCAGGGAAAGCTTCTCTCCTGTCTTGGGTGGGGTTTACTACGTTTGATTTAAAACGTCTCACGTGGATCAAATTTACAGCTTTTCAAAAAAGCCCACCCACACTCCCCACGCATCGGACTGATGTGGCCCTGGCAGCCCTGGCATTGCCTGGCAATGGGTTGCTTTGCTTTTGTCAAGTACCTGCAAAGTGACATTGACTTCAAATGTTCAGAGGCCGATGCCACAAAGTCAGGCTGGTGAAACCACCACCTGGGAGCAGCAACACAAACCAAAATTCACCTGAAGTGACCCAGCCTCGTCCACCAGAACATACTGCAGGGACGTTCTCCTGGCAAAAGAGCCCTTTCTGGAGGGTATGTCATGTGTGGCGGCGGCATGGCCTGAAGACAACCAGGTGGTGTGAGCCATGTGCCAGGCAGGCTCTGGACCACTTGAATAAGTGCCTGGGCAAGCAGCACACGCAGCATCACCCGAATTTCAAATGCCTCCTGAGTCTCTCCAGCTCCGGTTTCTGGGGAGCTACTGGTTTTCTAAGGGTGTTTCAGAAAACTTTAGGAAAGGGGATATAAATGCACCTGCCTTCGCTTTGTGGGTGCACAGGCAGGGGCAAAACCTAGTTGGGAGCTCCAGGCTCCTTGGCAAGGAAAGATGGCAGGATGCCCTGCCAAGAGCAACGCTGGGAGGCTTCGGTGTCCCACCTGCACTGTGCCAAACTCCCCTCTGCCATTCTGAGCATCTGCCTACGAAGACCACAACCCTGATCATGCTACATAACCCTGTATAGCTGCTGCCCTGAAGAAAAACCAAATAAACCACTTGTCACTGTCATTTTTATGGTCTATGGTCCATTAGATACCAAATAAGGGACATTCTTTAAAGTGTAAGACAGGCAGTCACCTTTCTCCTCCAGCCACGAGCACTGTTGAGTGCATTCTCTCTTGGGATGAAACGGGAGATGTTTAGTGCCTGCAAGGAGGAAGATACCATCTTTTCTCCACACACGGCTGCTCTGCGTAATCTGTTGAGTTCACTCTACGCTGTTTCACGACCACGTGCACCAGGGAGCTGAGCTGAAAATGGACTCTTGGGGAGCAAGCGGGGAGCTAAACATGAGCTACCCCCTGCAAGAGCCAACCCAGGGCTTTGCAGCCCTGCTGCGTGGTCCCCCATCCCCTCAAAGGTGTGAGGAACGGTGTGTCCCTCGCCTGCTCACACACTCCATCAGGAACCAGCGCACACCCCAGGTGTCTGAAAGGCACCTCCTGTGACTGCAGTGCGTATGACTACACTTGCTCTTTCATGGATGTCCACCAACACCCCATGTGCACTGTCACGAGGTCACTGGTGGTTGGCGATGTCCCACAGGGCCTTTTCTTAGACACAGTCTATGTACTCACAACCACACTCCTGAGGAATGCTTTTTTGCTTTGCTCTTTGATGGAGCATGACTTTTGTTTGGTTTCTGGCTCAACGTCTGAGTTAAAAATACAAGGCTATTTCTGGCAGAAGTGAGGGGTTTTTTCTGCCTTTGTATTGCCTTGGATGCCCCCGTGCTGCTGTCTCCTTTCTGGCTCAGATGAGCTTTGTTTTCCTTCTCAATGATCATGTTTGCACCGGTGAGCAGTAGGAAATGCTTTTGCTATTAGAACATTTCCACGAGCACTGTTGGGAATGAAGAATGAGCTCAGAGAAGTCTAAAAAAAAACCCAGTTGGTGTAAAGATCCTGTCTCCAGCGGTCAGAGAACTGAAGATCAGGAATGTCTGTGGTGAAAAAGGGCTGTGTATGTGTGCACACGCACACAGGTACGGCAGGATATGTTCTCCCCATGACCCACAGACCAGGAACAAATGGCTCAGTGCTAGAAACACTTTCAAGCATCCCCACTGTACAGACAGGCTTCATTCCAAGCTCCACAGCTCAGACCCTTTAGTACCCAGCACAAAAATATTTTATTTCGCTTTTCTTAAATGCCAAGAAAAAATAGGCCTATCTTTCCTGGCTTAGATTTATTCCATCTGGAATCACTGCATGATCACAGGATTGTGATAGGGTGTGTTACAGCCTCAGTGTAAAGCAAGAGCCCGAATACTTTCAAAAACCCGTGCAATCATTAAATCTCTGCTGTTACACACCATCTCCTGGCAACAACAAGCTGAGGACTTGGGGTTTCTCGCTTGAGATCACTGAGTTCAAGTATCTCCAAGCCCCCTCCCACGATCCAGAAACATGCCATCGTTTGTGGGTGTGATCCCAGTCTGCAGGACTGAGAACAAAACCAACACAGGTGCAGGAAGCCTCCCCGGTACATTGGATGTGCCACACGTCACAACAAACATGAACACAACCGGAAGATAACGGCCCAACAAACAGCTCAATTGTTCAGGCTAAAGACATCAAAAAGGCACGTGAAGAGCTTTCCAGGGCACAGGTCCCCACCACCTTCTGGGGAGGCAAGCACAGACTGAGTCAGAGCTCTTCAACACCCAACACAGGACTTGCTGCAGGCCAGGAACACATAAATCACCCACATCAGGGCCAGCTCCTCTTGCCAGCTTCTGCTCTTCAGGAAGCACGCTCCACCTAACTTGCTTCCAAAGAGAAGCTCTTAGACAATGATTTTCTGTCATCTGTGCCTAACAACTGCTGAATTCAAAGACCACTCTGCAGACTGCCACTCTGGAGACCATCAGTGTGATCAGGAGATGAGAGGCAACAGAACCTAAGGTGCCAGATTTGGCAAAGGCAACCAGCATTTTTGGTTGCTCATCAAAAACTTGAAAAGGGCTCTGTTTCCTGAAGGCAACAAGCCCACTCCTCATGAATCCCAGGAGACTGATCAAGTCAGACAGCACAAAGAAAGGGGGCCAAATTCCTGTATTCTCCTGGAATTCAAGGCATCACATTCTGACAGGACCAAACTCAGGAAACCTCAGGTCTAAGACTCCCATCCCTCAAGAGAAGGTTACAAATACCACCACTAAATGCCATCCTCTAACCAGTTCACGACGGAGGTTGGTACCATTGTTCTGTTAAATGGACAGTGATGCTGAGGGTCATAAAGGCAAAATGAATTGTTTACAGTTGCCCCAACAGCAGACCAAGATGCAGGCTCCGTTTCCCAGCCAACAGGCCACCCCACCACCCATCCAAGGTTAGAAATGAGGTAAGAACAAACAGGCTGTAAGAAACTCCCAGATCAGAACTGGAAAAATAAAAATCATCTTCCTACCGACTGTGACACCTGGACACGGACTTCGCTGGTATCCAGTGGTGATGTACTTGACCCCTGGGACTTTCTCTCTGAACTGGATTGGTGCTCCCGGTATTTCTTTGACCTCGCAGGTAACGACAAGAACTCTTTTCCTGAGATCTTCAGGTCTCCCACATGATGGCTGTCCCCGTTCTGGTCCTTGGGAAAGCAAGAAACAGTCATTGCACAAATCTCCTGTCTCAGGTTGACATGGAGATCTGTTAGCAAGTACCCACAGAACAGGAGACACGAGGAAGCAAGAAGTTAACGTGGAGTTTAGGTGGTGGGAGTTGCCACTCCTCACGTGCAGGGTCAAATGAGGACATTCTACCTCTGCAGCGAGTGATTTTAACGAGTGGAAAGGAAGCATCACCCAAACAACACACAGCAGTCAACTTCTCCACAGGGAGAAGTCAGGGAAAAGTAGCATCCTCTTAAAAAACCCACGTAAGCAGGTAGAAGTATGGCTGATTTATTTCCAGACATAGGGAGTGATGGGTCCAGAAGCAGCCACTGCTGCTAGTGATTTATGCCAACTGCACTCATAAAAACCTCTTCCAAACAGAGTCACAAGCTCATCTTGCTCAGGATACCAAACTCCTGGCACAAGTCCCTCTACTTGCTGTATCTTCACTTCTTCCCAGCACCCAGCTGTGCAGCAGCCCACACCAAACCATGGATAACCCAACCCTGCCCCAGGGACCACGGCTATCCTAGATGCTCCACAGCCTTTCCCACCTCTTGTCTGCCTCAGTGTCTCCCACTGCCTTCAGCAAGAAGAGCCCTTACCTGAGGGTTTCCTCAAAGGCAGATTGGAGTCCCATCAGCTCTTTTGCCAACCCCTGTGCTACCAGAAGCCCATGGGGACTGCAGGGTAACATGACTAACTACAGCAGATGATTACGAGCAGTCCCCTCTTCTCTCACCGCTGCCCTCATTTGCTCTCTTAATTCCTTGTGCTCAGTGCTGCCATAGACATATAAAATACAGGATTATTACCCCTGTGTAATGCATGGGAAAATGAGGTGACAGAAATTACACATCTCTTGAAGTTTTTTTCCCTTCTCACTTTTCCAGGCCCTGCCCCATGCCCGGCTCCTCCATTCTCACCCCCTTTCCATAACACACACACGACTCTATCCCTTCTCTGTCAAAAGACTCGAGTTAATAGCCCTGCCTGTATTATCATAACAGCCTCATTACTGCTGTCACACAGATGAGGCCCTCGTACAGAAGCATCAGCAGGAGTATTCAGTGTTTATATTCAGTGTTTAGCTCCAAAGACACTTATTAAAGGCACCAGGCACTTTACATGTAACCGGCGGGACATGAGTGCCTAAACCTGCTTGGTGCCCTGGGCTTCAGTGTCTCTGGTGACAAACCACCTCTTTATCATACATAAAGCACTGAGAGGGCTCCCCAGAGTGTCCTCACTGCAGCACCCACATGCAGGAGAAAGAAGCACAGCTCAGGAGACAACCCAATGGCACACAAGGTTGGGATTTAGGTGCACATAGACCGAAAAGCCGAGGACACCGAACAGGATCTGAAGTCACAGCACACAACAGCACAGTAGGATGCTGCAGCCTAAATGACTTTTCCATTCCTTGCAATACAAACAGGAATTGTGAGGACAAGTGAGGAGAGATTCATTTCCCTAGAAGTTATTGATGGGATCAACTGCAGCCGGGCCGGTGTCCACATTTTGAAAAGCAGCCACAAAAATGGATTTCAGAACTGGAAAGAAACTGCCTTATGGTACCTTACTGCCTTACTTAGAGCCCTCAAACTGTTTAGTTCATGACAAAAGGAATAGATGACTCAATTACAGCATGTAAGCACCTTCAGGGTAAAAGGCAGCACGAGATAAAAAGATTTTTAGTCTGGTGGAGAGAGGAATAAACAAGAACCAATAGCTAGGAGCTAAAACCAGAGAAGATCAAAACAAGGAACAAGGCAAAGGCTGGAGAGAGCAGGATGGTCGGGGAAGCAGCGTTGTATGATGGGACATTCAGAGCCAACACGGGACCTTCCTGGGTGCTCTGCCCAGACACAAGTGTGCACAGAGGCACTGGACAAGAGCTCCTGGCCCGTGCAGTGACAGGGTCCCTGCTGACTTTGACGTCTGTCTCTGGCAGAGACGGTGGGACGATAACGAAGAGGTGCTCTTCGATCACAGTAGGTGGAAAGGCTCAGTGCCTCCCAGCTGCCTGCAGAAACAGCCTGTGCCCTGGGGAGACTGAGAAAATGCTGATCTGCTCAGATCTGACATTTCCAGCAGGGAACTGGGGCAGAAGCTCCCTTAGAGCCCCCTGGGATAAAACCCTCTGCCTCCTGCCACGCACCATCCCCTGCCTCTGCCCTCTGCATCCCTACTCGTGCTGAATGCAGCCCTCCGCTGGGCTAATAAGGCCCTGAGATTTGCCACCAGCCACTAAAGGGGCTAAAACGCCAGAGATTATCCTCTCAATAAAGGGCAGCTTTTTTTCAAAAAAGCAAAGAAGTGGCTTTTTTTCAGCTTTCAGTTGTTAAGTGCCTTTTTAGCTAGACCAGCTGTTCCTCTCCTCCGAGCTCTCTAGAAACCCTCTTTGGTTAATCCCATTGACTCCAATGATATCTGCTAATTGCATACTTCCCTGCAAACGAAGCCAGTCAACAAGCCATTACAGATTCCTAGTGATATTTAATCTTTGAGGCCAGACATCTTTGCTTACCTTTTCAGAAGGGAACTTCAGGAGGTCTAAGCTGTCCATGCTGTTCCTTTGGAGTCTCTTTGGCCTGGCTCCTGCAAAACAACGCACTCTCGCATCAGGAGGGTGGCACTCACCAACAGCACTAATGTCACACAGACAGAATTTAAGCAAGGGCAGACTCTCCACTTCTGTTAACTACAAAGTCAAAAGGACGGGATGCCGCAGCTGTGCTGTCCTTGAGATTCAAACATGGGTTTTTTCCTCTATTGCTTTGGGGCTTTTTCAAAACACTATCACAGCACCATCAGCAACAGCTTCGGCTGCCTGAAGCTTTTGCTATTGAACCAGTGGCTGGGTCACACTCTGACCCTGATCTCAACTGAGCTCTCTGGAATTCAGGAGTTACAAACCCTACCCTAAAAAACAAAAGTCAAGGGACTGACGTTGAGAGAAATCATAACAAAACCACAGTTTAATAGATGCGTGGATTTGTTGCTTTATCTTCATGTTTTTAACTTAAAGAATGTAATCTGGGACACAGCTTTGAGTTTTTCTCTACAGTCACGAGGGCTGGAAAACTAAGCGAAGGAGCAAATATTTTCTAACTATCATAGGCCCAGCCTTAAGGAGAGCAAAACCTTGCCCTGAAGCTGACAGAGAAATCAGAATATTGGACAGTATCCATTATATTTATTTGAGATTTCATTAAATTCCTTTTGATGCAATATTCTAGCGATAACAGAGAAGGTGAAACACAGTTCAGCTCCAACTCCTGCTTTCCAAACTCTCTTTACCTCCACCATGTCTCCATCCAACCTGCTTCCAGCATCTATTGCCTTGCTCACTAACACAGCCAGGATTTACAAAATAGCCCTGGGATGCCTTCACCGCATCTGGGAAAGCTTCTGTCCTTTCTCTCTCCTGCTTTCCTGCCCTGAAGGTTCAGCTTCGCCGGGCACCACATGACATCCCACACCAGCAACACCAGACGGGGCAGAGATGAAAGCTTTGGACTCACAGTCCCATGATAACTTCCAAGCTTCAGGGGAAATCCTCAGGGAGGGTGGATGAACACATGTGAATCGAAATCCATCCCCGTGCTGAGCCCTGAGAACGGAAACCACCGAGCTCTGTGTGGTTCCTGCAAAAGCAAACTCACCAAACCTAAAGATTCCATAGTTTACCACCAGCACCTAACAGCACAACTGCTTCTGTTACAGCACAATTATATTTACAGCAGCCCCACGGACCCTGTTCAAACCCAGGGTGCCACCGAGCCACTCACGGGACAAACTTAACGAGAGAGAGAAGGCAAAAAAATAATGAACCAGTTCAAGACTGTAAGCAGAATATGATGATTAAATGGCAAAAGCCACCAGGTAGCAGGGATTCCTGCATTAACATGTGCCCAGCTCTTCCAGGGCTCCAGACGCGACCAAAGTCATCTCTAAACTGCACCAACCCCAGAAACACTGCTGCTTTCAAAAGCTCAATCTCACTCAGCTCTGTGAGACAAAAGACAAGCTCAGATCAGCTGGGACTTTGCTAAGGGTCATGCACATATATCACATCTTAGTTATAGAAGACCTAAAGTTAATTACACTGCCCCTCGCTACCCTAAAGTGATTTACTTCTTGCAGCCATAAAGATTCAAATCAGCAAAATATTTCTGCACGTTTCTCTCTATTCCAAAAAGCACATTAGCACCAGCTCCATTTTAAGGTGCCTTCATTACTAGGCTTTGGGTTGAGAAGGGAATGACATCAGGGGTGGTGAATAGGTGCAGAACAGATATTGATGTGAGTACCCAGAGAGAAAGGAAAACACGTCATGATAAGCAGTCGTCATCTCTACTCTCCTGCCCTGCAAAGCCAGTTCTCCCTTGGCAGCAGCTCAGGAACAGCAGGATTTGATGGTGGAAGGTCAGCAATTGCTGCTGAGACTGAGACACGGGGCTGCCCTCCCTTTGGAGTGGGCAGGAAAACAAGGACTTTGCTGCCCTCAACAAAGCAGGCACAACTCTTTGATTTTACTATTTTTATTCCAGTCTTTGTTTATGTTTACTAAGATACCTTATCTAAGGTATCATATGTTTGCTAACATCTTTTAAGCACCTCTGGCGAGCACGTTGGGAAAGGCTCACGCTGTTGGATACCAAGGAAATGATCCAGTTGTTTGGTAGCTGAATATATCTATTATCACAGGCTGGATGTGAACTCAGCCATGAAGACACCCGAAATGATAAAGCGTGAGCCCTCTCCCAAAATTAAATGGAGAGCGAGCTGCACTCTTGGTGGGGAGGCACAACCCCCCCAGAGACAACAGTTCACTCAGTACAGGACTCCCCTTCCATGTGCTAAATTCTGCCCGAGTTTACTCTCCCCAGGGCACCAGTGATCCCAGCTTTCAGCTGAGAGGGCCCAGAGCTCTTAAACTAAGCTGAGGTCCCAAACCACCTCAGTGGGAGACACGAGACACCCCACGCCCAGCTCCCACCACCACCCTGGGGGCATCAGCACAGAGAAGGTGGCTACTGCTGGCCCCAGGTCTCCTCCCACGCTGCCGAATGAGCAAAGGGCATTTGGCTGCTGCCGTGTGGGTCAGGCAGGAGCTCAGCGAGGGGAAAGAGTGGTGGGTTGTGGCTGGTGGCTCCTGGTCACACACGATGACGTTGCGGACACTGCTACAGCTGCTGATGGCTCTTTGGCTTCCCTCAGAATAACCTACGGTCGTATGTGTGGAGAAGGGAGGTGGGTCTGGAATAAAAGGCACCTACAAACACTTAATGGGATGGTACATTTGGGTTTCAAAGCAATGCCCAAGAGGCAAGGCCAGCATCTGGAAGTGAGCGTGCGTCACAGCGGCTTTTAACAGCCACTTCCAGGAAAGCAAGAAAGGAGCGAAGTGTGCCTGATTAGATAAACACACATCATTTCCAACAGCCTAAAGAGTCGTTAATTATACACCTCCGTCCTCAGGTGCTTTTGTACATTTGCAATAGCATTAAACTGCTGGCCAGAAACCATTAATCTCTGATCTGAGAAAACCTGCCTTCCTCTTTGTTAATTTAATCTACGGAGTCAGCTGAGACTACCCCAGCAATTAGGGCACGCAGAACAATTTGTCTTTTTCAGTTGTTTTGATGCTCCTCCATTACCGTGTGGATTTCACATGAAGTTGAGTTAAGAGAGGAAGACGATGGGAGTTACAAACTCAACTTCAGAGCCACCCACTTCAGCTGCTTTCTTCCAGAAGAAAACAGAGTCAGCTCCAGGGCCAAACGCGGGCCTCACAAAAGCCCAACGGTTCCACCGTCCCCACTCACCATGAGCTGTCCCACGGGTGGGGAGAACAGCGCCATTAAAACAAGAAATTAGAAGAATTAAGAGGCTACCTGTTGGTCAGGGCTATCATAAACCAGATCAGCACAGGCAGCAATTCCTACAGCACGTATGGGAGTTCTCCCCTTTACTCCCCAGCAAACAGGCTCAGTAGCCTGCACATACTCATCTTCCAGCAGAGCAGAGAGATTTCTGTACTCACAAGCACCCCACGACAGAAGGAGTCCCATTAATTTTTCTTTCTCCGATCAGGACGTTCCCTCAGATGGCTCCAGAGGTAACTTTTCAGTCTCCTTCAAGTCATTTTTCCCAGAAATACCTGCAGCACCACCCAACGCTCAGCAAAAGTTCAACTCTGCCTCTTTCTCCCCGGTGCCGATCACCAGCAGCCGGCGCGGATGCAAAAGATGGAGCAGCTGAAAACCTGGGTCTGTTCCTCTGGAAGGTTTTTTCCTCTCTCTCCAGTATTTATTGGCGTGTTTACCAAGCCTACTGCAGAGTAACGGAAAACCTCAGGGGCATTTCTAAATGCTCTCTCTGTCTTCAAGGTCTCGAATAGAGCAAGTTGAAACCTTCTTGTGAACATCAGCTGAGCAACGCTCCTGACTGGCTGTATTCATACCTTGTTTTCCTGGAGCTCCTCGGATGTTGTTCTTTTCATTGCTCAGGCTCAGGGTCCTTGTTTCTTTTTTAAATATTTTTTTTCAAAATCTCTCCCCTCCCCTATGATCTCCACACCACCATGAACCAAAGGGGATTTTATTTTATTTTTTTTTTAATTTTACTTGTGCAATTTGGTTCCTGAGGCGAGTTTAACGGTTTTCACATTCTTGTATTTTAAAACTTGATGAAGGAGACACCTCCCTCCCTGGAAGGGAGCAATGGACTTTGGGGAGGGGGAAGTTCATTGCAAGAGAGCAGAGGGTGCTGCTTGTGTGCTTGCCTGCACGCACGTGAGAATCCTTGCTGCCCCCAGGTCCTTCAGATCCCCTCATCTCACAAGTGCTCCCTGTTCTTCAGTCTTTGGGACATAAACCCAATATTATCCATGTCAGATACCCACCTAGACCCATCTTTTTTCTCTGCCTCACATCCCCACTCTGCAGAGATGGGGATGGCCTCTCTGCACATCCTTGTGCTACCTCGCAAGAGATGACATGGATACGGGAACCGTTATCTATAATCTCTTCTTTACCACCAGAAGTTTGATAGTGCAGGATCCCTCCTTTCCTTGGGCTTTTTAAGCTGATGAGTGTAGAGCTACACTGGGCATTCCATGTCTGATGAAGCTGCTAAATCAGAGAGCTGACATGGTGCACACAGCAAGCACAACTTCTTCCCTCCATTCTTCTCCTGTCCCCTTGGTTTCTGTTACCAGCTCCATATCAGTACCATCTCCAGAGAGGACTCTATTCCTGTGCCACAGGCAGGCCCTCCAACAGGCAAGTCCTCATTTTTCAGGACGCAATTAGAGGAGAAATGCTCACGTAGCAGAAATTCTCTAGCAGTACCTTGCTTCGAAGTGAGATGTAGCCACAGAAAACACAAGGAAGTGTTTTATCGTGGGATGGTGATGGGATCATCCCATGTAAATTTGCAGTAGGGCAAAGCTGGGTAGACAGCGTGGGCAGAGTTTTGTTCCTCTGTGGACAGTCTCCCTATCCAACTGGCGCTCCTGAGATTTCAGAGTTGACAAGATCGAGCAGAACACGTGTAGCAACGGCTCAGGGAGCCCTGCCAGGAGCTCTCAT